CCCGCGCGCACAGCAACGAAGACCCAACGCAGCCAAAAATAAATAAATAAATTTATACATATTAAAAAAAACTATATAGTGTTTATATCTATGTAAAATATATCGGGAAAGGTCAAAAGTGAAACTGGATGTCTACACAATAACCTGTACACAAATGTTCAAAGCAGCATTATTCATAACAGCCAAAAAGTGGGCACAACCCAACTGTCTATGAACTAACAAATGGATAAATAAAATGTGGTATGTCCATATAATGGAATATTATATTTAGCCATAAACAGGAATGAAGTACTGATACATGTTACAACATGGTTTAACCTTAAAAACATTATGCTAAGTAAAAGAAGCCAGTCACAAAATGCCACATGTTGTTTGATTCCATTTATCTGAGATGTCCAGAACAAACAAATCTTCAAAAAAAGAAAGCAGATTGATGGTAGTAAGTGGGCAGGGAAAAAAAAAAAAGGAATAACATGTTAGTATAGGTATTTTCATCATTTTTGGAATGATGAAAATATGCTAAAATTAGATAGTGGTAATGGTTGCACAACTCTGAATATACTGAAAACCCCAGAGTTGTAGTCTATAGGGGTTGATTATATCTCCATAAAGCTATTACCAAAAAAGTGAATCTGAAATGAAACAGACTTTAATATGCATCAGGCTTTTTAAATAAACCTAAATTTGTCTTATGAAAATTATCTATTTTTGTTTTTGAAGAAAAATTTCATTTAGTGACCATGGTCACAACAAAGTTTCAAATACTAGTTGAAATGATTTAACAAAATAAAACAAATTTCCATGTCAACAGGATTATCTTCATTAACACTACTAGTATTTATTTAATAACTCAATTTTCTGATGGGTTAATATAGTCTAAAACAACATATTTTAAACATAAACAGTGACAGATGCTAGGGATCTGCATATTTTCTATCTCAAATACCTTACAGAGAAATTATCTAGGTATTATATATCTTCTAAAGTGGAACTATATCTGCATTATAAAGGATATGTCAGAAAGACTGTACTGGGCTTCCCTGGTGGCACAGTGGTTGAGTCCGCCTGCCAATGAAGGGGACACGGGTTCGTGCCCCGGTCCGGGAAGATCCCACGTGCCGCAGAGCGGCTGGGCCCGTGAGCCAT